AGGAAATGCCAACCTGGTCCAATATTTCTTTTCTGGAAAATTCCATGGACAAGGAAATGGGTAGGCTACAGTTCATGGGATCACAAAGAGTCAGACACAACTGAAGTGACTGAGCATGCATGAACTCACACATACTTGATTCATCTGTCCTGAAGCTAAGTGGTAGTGGCAGGTATGTTAGTCCTTTTAGTCAAAATCTTCTTAAAGTAGATAAATAGTGTTTTTCTCTATGTGATAGGTATCCAGCGTCTAATCAATACACTCATCTATGTGTCTTCTCTGGCCACTGATACTTCAACTTCTGCATTTATCCTCTTCTACTCTATATGTACTCCTCAAGCTATTTTGTGTCATTACCATGATTTTAGCCTATATTCTATTCTTGAATTCTAGACTCATGAATCCAAATGAGAATTAAACATTCTTGAGTATTATCCTGACACTTAAATTCAATGTGTTTAAAAACTTAATTAATTATGCTAGATTAATGCCCTCAACCAACTGATCGCTTGCCTCTTAATCTGTTTAGTCTTTTACCTAATTGCTATCTTTTGTCCTGAAATCCTGTTTCAAGTTCCATTCCCTTCTTTGAGTGTTCCCCTCTATAAAGCTCTAAAGTTATCCTAGCAAGACTCTGACCTCTGTTCTTGAGTCCAGGTGGAAGCAATTAACTTTCCTGTGGTCACAGCTTTTAGCACCCATTTCTTAACCTCATCCATCACCTCCCTGCACAGCCACCCCACCCCACCTCCGCCCTGCCCAGGCAGTCTTAGGTTGGTATCTTTAGTTACCCATAACTCACCAATAATTTAAAGTATTTTGAGTCAAATGTCATCAACCCAGCATTATGATAGGAAAGCAACAAGAAGTTTCAAAAGCAGAGTGGCCAAGTTCTCAGAAAATGAAGAATCAGAGTGATTTGTGCTGAAACAAGTAAGCAAAAACTGGGATCTAATTTTCTTGTTGTTTAATCCCTGGTTAGGAGCACTTTTAGTTAAGGATGTTTTTCACATAGAACTTGGGCACTTTCTGAGGTTCTGGCCATTGGTAGCAGAGAAGTTCATTTTCATTTGTGCCCCCTTTGTTCCATGGTCAGTGGGTAGTCCCAAACTGTATTATCCTATCAGAAGTCTACCAGGTTTCACATTTAGTTTTCCAATTTATTCCGTCAAAGTCTGTCTATCACACACATAATAGGTAAACTCTTATTACTACAGATTAACTCATGGTAAGAAAGTGAGATGGAGCTCACGAATATGTCTTTTTTGCCCCATATTATTTTTCCATAGCTGCTTCACAATGCCCAGTGCAATATATCCTGATTAAAAATATGGGAGATGATTTCACTGGCTAAATGCAGTGAATATACTATGCATTGCAAATATACTATGACATGGAAACTGTCATATTATTTTTCTATAGTAACCAAAGTCTCTCCATTGTTATCATGATGACTGAATGAAAAGCAAGACAAAATGATAAAAAAAAAAAAAACTTTGTAACTTAAGCATTTTATTTTTACATTTGAATTGCTTGCTGATTAAAGCATTTAGCAACATAATTAGAGGTAATTTAAGTAGGTAATCAGATAATGTTATAAAATAGTTTCCAGTGATACATTCCTTTAAACAAAGCATCCGCATTTAGGAGTGTAATTTATCACTGAGTTATTGATACAAATTCAATTATATGTTAAATAGAAGAAAGAATTCACAAATGAACCCTGGTACCCTGTAAAAATGTCCGTATCTATAACTTTTGAATAGTTCTCATAGGATCCAAAGAGATACATGGGAAATTGGCCCTCCGCATTTTAGCTCTCTTTGCCATTTTGTAGTGTCTGGTTCTAAATCATATTTTGACAGTTAAGACTCAGATAAAGCTATGTCTTTGTATGTGCATATTTTAATAAAATTGACTGATGAGTTTAATCAGTCAAATTGTCCACTTAGACAAATGCTTTGACTGTATGATTTGCTTATTTGTTTTTCTTTCTTTATTAAATTAACTTGTTCTAAACAATTTGATTTAATTGGTTAGGTTAACAAAACATAGCAAGATCAACTCAATGTTTGAAAGCAGTTTTGATGTGATTTTTTAAAATAGTTATACCAAAGTTAAGAAAAAAAATTGTCCCTTAGCAAATGCTCAAGGGTTTACTGTAAAATATTCTGAAAAATTCAGATTTCAAGAATTTTTTGTAAATAAACAAAAAATTGTCTATTATTTTAGTTTAACTGATCAAAGTTATGAAACTAGATTCCAAAATTGGAGCATGTTTATCGTTCAATGATTTTATTATTTAAAATACTAGTATACATTAATGAAAATGTCTTTTTCCTTGAAAGAATCTCAGTATTAAAAAGAACTTCAGGTTTAAAAAATAAGTGTCTAATTTCTAAATTATATATATGTAATATTAGGAGCCATAGAAATGCACATTTTAGAAATTCAGTGTCTGTTGTGAGACTACTCTGTCAAATATTGACTCAAAATCAAACTTTAAAAATAATGTTACCTCCAGTCTCTATATTCATTCTCTTTGAATAGTGCTGTGGCTGTGCTAGATACGTGTCTGTGTGTGTTTGCTGTGTGTATCTGTCTCTGTGTTTAAAAGTGATGGAGAACAGAACAAGAAAGAAGCTGAATGAAAAGAATGGAATTAACTGTACAGTGTGGCTTGAGTGACTTACTTGGAAGTTATACATGGGGTCTTTGGGGGTGTTTATGGTTTTTCCAAAGTAGTATTGAAATGAGATAAAAACTAATGTCAGTTTCTTTAGAAATGAGTTGTGGTTTCATAAAACAAATCAGTATTTTCTCTGTTTCAAGTGAAAATGTTTATAGTAATAAAATCTCATTTGCCCATACAACTCTTTTTATACTTTCTTGTTTCTCTCCTCTCTTCTTTGCTTCTCGGGTTTCATACTTCATGTTAAAGCCATAAGAAAAGTGGAATGTATTTCTCTAAATACACTTTTATGTATATACACATAGAGTTAATTAATCATCAATTAAAAGTTAATGCTATCATGTGTTTATAATTAATTCTCTTATGTGGATATCAACTTAATAATTGGTTGGTAAACACTTAATTTTGGAATTTCAGTCATGTGCCTTTAAAAAAAGACTTGTTGAGTTATTCCAATTAAACATTTGACTGTCTTACAATAATGTACTGATTATGTTCACAGTCTTGGATTATGAAACTGTTAAATCTGAAATGAAAAGATAGACGGTTTGCTGTATGAAAGTGAAATATATATGCACAGCATATATCTGAAAACAAACAGCAAACAAGAAAAACACAAAGAACAAAATTTCAATTTTCTTGCTATGCGAAAACTTTTATAATTGCAAACTATATATGTGAGCAAGTAGTTCACAAATGAAATATATGTGGAGGATCAATAAGCATATGACAATATATTTCATTGTATAAATAAAATGGTGAAAATTAAAATACAGATGATTGTTATATCATTATTTATCACTGGCAAAATATGAAAGAATTGGTAATCTGTAGTTTTAAAGAAGAAAGTACTGCTGATAAAAGTGTGCATTTATATTAAGCTTTTTGGACATTTAGTAGGTGATATTTGTCAAACTTCATATATATTTACCCCCTATAAATTTTATTTATAGACATATACCATAAAAGATATTTAGATAATTATATTTTTTCTAAAGTATCATAGGCAAGTACACAGGTTTGTACTTCTTTACAATATTATGACACAAAAACACTGGGATATTTCTAAGTACCTGTCAGCATAAGACCAATTAAATAACATTTTTTGTGTATGTGTATATGCAATGCAGGTGTTAAAAATGTGAGATTCAACTATAAATGAAAAGATTTCCACCATATATTGTTAAATTAATAAGTAAATCAGTGTATCAAGCAATATGTTTAGTGTGATACTACCTGATTGAAAGTTACTTAAGTAAAATTTAAAAAGGGAAGGGAAGAAAAATACAATGTTTTTTTCTGTTGACAATTTTGATAAGAAGGTCACCACATTGTTAACTGGTTACCTCCTGACATTGAAAGATAGATGCATCAAGGGACCTGAAGGAATTGTAATTTGTGTCCTTATAAATCTCTATCTTCTAAAAGAACATTCACTATTTCTATCACTAACTCAAAACATATACTGATTTATTTTAATTATTTCTTGAAACAATAAAACAATTTTAAAATTGAAATAGATGGCCTTTTTAATTAAGTATATATGAGTTCAAGAACAGTACTTTTTTGGAGAGGGGTAATGGTTTCCATAGAAAAATGAAACAGATACGGAATTCCTGAGGTTAATTTGATTTTTGATACTCTTGTATTACAAGTTGGATGATATTTCTGTATAGTCTTTAGCTCATCTACCAGTGAGTGCTTTAGAAAATCCAGAGTGCTTTGTTTCCATTTATAAGGGGAAAAAACAGACAAACTGCAAGACTAGGTTTTTAAGAAATAATTGTTATAATTAGATTTTTAAAATTTTATTTTATTTTTTAACATCAAAAGCATTTTGTATTGGAGTATAGCTGATTAACAATGTTGTGATAGTTTCAGGGGAACAGTGAAGGGACTAATCCATACATATTCATGTATCCTTTCTATCCCAAATCCCATTCTTATCCAGGCTGGCACATTACATTGAGCAGAGTTCCATGTGCTATACAAAAGGTTCTTGTTGGTTATCCATTTTAAATATAACAGAGTGTACATTTGCTTCCCAAAGTCCTTAACTGTGCCTTCCACTGGCAACCATGAGTTCACTTTCTAAGTCTGTGAGTCTCTTTCTGTTTTGCAAGTTAAGTTCATTTGTATCATTGGATTTTTTAAAATCCTGTCAAGTTCCTGAAGTGAAATGCTCCATTTTTAGTTCAATTTATGAATTGAAATTGCTTTATTCCTTGGTATTAGTAAACCAAAAACACATAGTTTTCCTTTGTATGTAACAAAGATGTTTTCTTTTTCTTCCTCCTCCTTTTGGTAGCTTTCAGCCGTGCCCCCATCCCGATGGCTGTGGTTCGCAGAGAGCTCTCCTGTGAGAGCTACCCCATTGAGCTCCGCTGTCCGGGAACAGATGTCATCATGATTGAAAGTGCCAACTATGGGAGGACCGATGACAAAATTTGTGACTCTGACCCTGCTCAGATGGAGAATATACGATGCTATCTACCTGATGCCTATAAGATTATGTCTCAAAGGTATGATATTTCTAATATTCTTTCTGCATTTAGTGTAGACTCTCAACCTTCATCTGTGTGATGTATTACGCATAGGTAAGAACATAAAATTTTGTACTTTAGAATACTTTACAATGCCTTTTCAATATCAAACTGTTCCTTGTATCACTAGAATGCTAGTGGAAGAAATTGCAAATGGCACTTGGAAAATATTAAAATGTATTAGATTATTTATTTTTTCATGTGTTCTTTCTGCATTCTCTAGACCTAGATTCATTAGTTGAGAAATCAAATTAACTTTTCAGTTTTCAAAAACAGAATTATGTAATTTTCTCCAGAAATTACAGAAAAAAATATGTTACTGCTAATGCTTTTCCATTGGTGTGGGGAAAAGCAAGTAAAATTTAGATTCATGGGCAATTTTATAAAAAAATATGGTAAAGAATATTGATTAATGATTATTTGACCTTGGAAAGAAATTTTAAAAGTTTTCCTTAGATCTCTAGCATATGAATTAATTCTTTTAATACATTTAAACTATCTGAATTATTATAATATTAAAATAAATATAAATTAAAATACCATGCAATATCATTGGATAAGTGAAAGAAAATCTTCAATTATAAAGAGACTGGTTAATTCAAATTTGAAGTTTAGAAAGTTTATATTAAAATTTCTTAATGTTGTTATTCAGTCATTTAGTTGTATCTGATTCTTTGCAACTTCATGGACTGTAGGCTTCCCTGTCCTTCACTGTCTTCCTGAGTTTGCCCAAACTCACGTCCATTGAGTTGATGATGCCATCCAACCATCTCATTCTCTGTTGCCCCCTTCTCCTCCTGCCCTCAATCTCTCTCAGCATCAGAGTATTTTCCAATGAGTTGGCTCTTCACAACAGGTGGTCAAAGTATTTCTTAATAAATTAGTTAAATACTAAATATCATTCATATATTTGTTCACTATTATGATTTATCAGAAATCAGTAACAAAGTGATTTATCTTTGACAAGCCTTCATCCTGTCTGACTACGTACTCACAAAGTAATTTTAAAAAACTTAATAAACAATTTAGTGAATTTGTTTTTAATTTGAATTTCTATTCAGGCATTTCTTTTGTTTAAGGATTTCTTAAAATATGGAGGAAATCATACCATATGTAAAAATAAATTGAATTATAATTGCACAAACAGTGATTTTCAGGATTGTCTTTCCTGTACTTACAAAAGCTTGCTTTATTTTTAACCTTCTTGATACTTAAAATTCAGATACATAAGTCTATAGTTTTATAAATTTCTGTTGTACAAATTATTCGGAGAAATTATAACATGCCAGGATTTTGATGATAGAGCATCTGGGGTATAATGGAAGGATAGTTAATGGTCTCTGGGCAAATCTGAGGGCTTATTTGTCTGTTTCTAAAATGCTGGCTCATGGTAAGATGAGTGTTAATGGGAAATAAGATTTTAAAATTCGGAATTCCATCTGAGACAAGTTTGGTGATTAGAAATCTAATCATTTTGTTGCATATAGGTGTTAATATCATCTTTCAAGAGCAGTTTTTTCCACAAGTAGTATGGAATTGGCACCATGACTAAGTTTATATTTTATTTGTTTTGGTTAGAAAACCAAACATAGGATTTTTCAGAATCCTTTTTGGNCAGAACACATTTACTTTCCCTTCTCAGAACTTCTCATGCTGCCCCTCACCTACTATCATCTACATCCATTTGTTTTGCATCTAAATAATAGATGCATATTACCATATTTTAGATCATTTTCTTGTCTAAAGTAAATTGTAGGCTTCTAGTGTGCATACTTGCTCTTGATTTTACCTAAAAGTAAATTTAGAATGTAGTAATCAAATATATGTGTATATTTCAAGTCAAGTCAAATACATATATCTTCAGTTCAGTTCAGTCGCTCAATCATGTCCAACCCTTTGCGACCCCATGAACCGCAGCACACCAGGCCTCCCTGTCAATCACCAACTCCCAAAGTCCACCCATACCCATGTCCATTGAGTTAGTGATGCCATCCAACCATCTCATCCTCTGTCATCCCCTTCTCCTTCTACCCTCAATCCAAATATATGAATTAATGAAGAAATACATATGCTGTTCAATTTTGTCATGCCACTTAAAAGCTTTCTTAAATTTATTAGCCGATTCATTTTTTTTAATTTTCATTTTGTGTTTATACAGTTGAGTTTAAAACATAATACATATAAAATGAACATGACTGGCAACTAATAACTGCAGGACTTTTACATTTTGAATGTAACTGTTATGTTATCACCAGCTATTAATGGAAATACTTGTGTTAATCTATGAATATCTGAAAGTTCATGATATGTAGTTCACTGTGAGAGTTAGTCTGGAGTTTGGTGGATAAATACATCAGTCATGATTGTAATTCATAAAACTATATATTTTTGTTCAATAAAAACTAAATCGCTATATCATTTGTTCAGTAATTTATTTTTATCTCATTTACATTAATTGAAGAGTTCAAAACAAGAAGTGCTCTTTTACCTATAGGATATTAGGGAGCATTCAGCTGAAGCCAAACTGTTAGACTGGTCTTTGAAGGATTGCAACGTTAGTGGAACTGGAAGAGACCAAAGCGATGTTAGATATAGAAGTGGATGAATACTGAAAAGAACATGGGGAGCTGCTTCTACTCAGTAAACATTCACCCATCCTTTTCTATCAGGACTTATTATTATTGATGTCTGCTGTGCACAACTTAATCTCTCTAGATCCTCTTCCCAATGTGCCTGAGGCCAGCATCTCATCACCAACCATTCCTGTAGATGCAACACAAATGCTCTTAGGAAGCTTTGGCGATTCAAAAATAAACGAGCTTGGCTGCTATTCCCTTGTTAATAAAACTGTTAGTAGTGTCCATCTTATAAACTAAACACAAATTCCACACAAATGTGGGAAGTTTGAAAATCATATTTTATGATGTCCTCAGCCAGCTTTTGACAAGTATTTTAAGTATCTGATATAATAGCCTTATGTTACATACACTTGGACATAATTTTAAAGTTGAAAAGGAAATTTGAATAAACATGTATATACTAATGGGTTTCCCTGGTGGCTCAGCTGGTAAAGAATCCTACTGCAATGTGGGAGACCTGGGTTCAGGAGACCTGGGTTCAATCCCTGGGTTGGGAAGATCCCCTGGAGAAGGGAATGGCTACCCACTGCAGTATTCTGGCCTGGAGAATTCCATGGACTATGTAGTCCATGGGGTCGCAAAGAGTCAGGCACGACTGAGTAACTTTCACAGGATGTATATGAATATGTATATGAGGGATTCCCTCATAGCTCAGTTGGTAAAGAATACTCCTGCAATGCAGGAGACCCCAGTTCAATTCCTGGGTCAGGAAGATCTGCTGGAGAAGGGATAGGCTACCCGCTCCAGTATTCTTGGACTTCCCTTGTAACTCAGTTGGTAAAGAATCCGCCTGCAATATGGGAGACCTGGGTTTGATCCCTGGGTTGGAAAGATCCCCTGGAGAAGGGAAAGGCTACCCACTTCAGTATTCTGGCCTGGAGAATTCCAAGGATTGTATAATCCATGGGGTCACAAAGAGTCGACATGACTGAGTGACTTTCAGTTTCACTATGTATATGAAATACTGTGATTTATTGCAGTATAACATACCTACTAATAATTGCACACTGCTGTTGTTTATTTGCTAAGTCATGTTGGATTCTTTGTGACCTCATGGACTGCAGCACACAAGGCTTCCCTGTCCTTCACTGTCTCCCGGAGTTTCCTTAAACTCATGTCCATTGAGTTGGTGATGGTGTCCATCAACTCACCCTCTGCTGCCCCCTTTTCCTCCTGCCCTGAATCTTTCCTAGCATCAAGGTCTTTTCCAATGAGTTGGCCTTTGCACCAGGTGGCCGAAGTATTGGAGTTTCAGCTTCAGCATCAGCCCATCCAATGAATAGTCGGGGTTGATTTCCTTAGGATTCTCTGGTTTGATCTCCTTGCTCCAAGGTAGTCTTGAGAATCTTTTCCAGCAACACAATCTGAAAGCATTAATTGTTCAGCACACAGCCTTCTTTATGGTCCAACTCTCACGTCTGTACATGACTACTAGAAAAAACATGGTTTTGACTAGACAGATCCTTGTCTCCAAGGTAATGTCTCTGTTTTTTAATATACTGTGTAGGTTGGTCGTAGCCTTTCTTCTCAGGAGCAAGTGTCTTTTAATTTCATGGCTGCAGTCACCATCTGCAGTGATTTTGAAGCCCAAGAAAATGAAATCTGCCACTATTTCCATTTTTGCCCCATGTATTTGCCATGCAGTGATGGGACCAGTTGTCACCGTCTTAGTTTTTTGAATGTTGAGTTTAAGCCAGCTTTTTCACTCTTCTCTTTCACTTTCATCAAGAGGCTCTTCTAGTTCCTCTTCAGTTTCTAGCATTAAGCTGGGATCATCTGCATATATGAGGTTTTTGATATTTCTCCCAACAGTCTTGATTATAGATTGTGATTCATCCAACCTGACATTTCACATGAGGTACTCTGCATATAAGTTATATAAGCAGGGTGACAGCATACAACATTAATGTGCTCCTTTCCAATTTGGAGCCAGTTCATTATTCCATGTCTGATTCTAACTGTTGCTTCTTGACCTGCATACAATTTTCACAGGAGGCAGGTAAGCTGATTGGTATTCCCATCTTTTTAATAATTTTCCAATTCATTATGATCCACCCAGTCAAAGGTATTAAGATAGTCAATGAGGCAGAAGTAGATTTTTAAAAAATTTTTTCTTGCCTTTTCTGTGATCCAGTGGATGTTGACAATTTGATCTCTGGTTCCTCTGGCTTTTCTAAATCCAGCTTGAACATCTGGAAATTCCCAGGTTCACGTACTGTTGAAGCCTAGCTTGAAGGTTTTGAGTGCTACCTTGCTAGCATGTGAAATGAGTGCCATTGTACAGTAGTTTGAACATTCTTTGGCATTTCCTTCTTTGCGATTGGAATGAAAACTGACCTTTTCCAGTCCTGTGGCCACTGCTGAGTTTTCCAAATTTGCTGAAATATTGAGTGCAACATTT